GCTTGTTCTCGGTTCGCAGCAGAGTGGGCTCTGCCCTCCCAACCCCAAACTGCGCCCCGGCGTCCACCTCCCCGCAGTGCCCGCGCTCCACCCCCTCCTCGCGCCCCTGGTGGCCACGGGCTGGGAGGGGCTGACCTGTAGTCCTCGCGGGTGGCGATGAGGCTGGACACATTGCGCAGGATGCCGCCGCCGCTCTCGATGATGGCCAGGGAGTTGCTCTGGCACTTGTAGGTCAGCGTGCTCACCAGGAAGCCCAGCGCGCCGTCCACCTGACAGATGGCCGCCTTGTTCTCAGTGCTGTGTGCTGACAGGTTCCACAGGGCGCTGAGCACGCTCTTCAGGGTAGACTCCTGGACACAGAGCGGGGGAAGGAGGGGGTCAGCCCCACCCACGCCGCCCTCCCCGTCAACATGTGCACAAAGGGCTGGGAGGAAAGGCACCCAAAGGACCTTGAGATGCAGGGTTGGAAGCCCCAGGTGTGGACCACCTGCTACGCGGTGCACTGTTTGACTTGATTTCCCCCAGAGATGGGGAACTCACCCCCTCCTGCAGGTCTCCCTGCCCTGTGGCTGGCACTGAACAGCCCTGGCCGCTCCCTCTTCCTGCGGCCGGGGTGAGCCCCTCCCGCCCCCAGCCCCAGCTCCAGCTGGCACCCACCTTGGAGGCTCGCAGAACACACTGCATCAGAGCAGTCATGCTGCCGACCTCCCTCAGCACCTTCTTGCTGTTGATGTCGGCCCGCCAGGACAGGTTGCGCAGGATGCTGGACACCACCTGGGCCGGGGCAGAGAAGGGGCAAGGTGGACCTAGGGCCCAGGCTCCCATCCTCCACCCCTGCGTCAGGCGGGGCTGGGGACAGATGGGAGGGGACGCCCCTCACTGGAGACCCACCATACCCAGGGGAGAGGGCGCCTTGCTGGCAGAAAGGCCTCAGGCAGTGGGACACCCTGCAGGGCGCTCCTGGCGCCACGGCCCACGCCAGCCAGGTACCTGGTGGAGCTCTTCGCTCTCAGAAGCCAGCTGGGCCACAATGGCCTCCATGCAGCCCCGGCGGGCACACAGCGTGGCCTGTTGGTGTGAGAGAGGGAAGTCCTGTCATGCCAGGTGGGGCAGGGGGCATGAAGCAGACCACCCCCACCTCCAGGCTCCCTCCTCTGCTCACTGAACACCTACTGTGTGCTAGAGCCCAGCCCCCTGGTCCCCCACTGCCGAGTGTTGCAGGGGAGGGACAGCCGTCACCCTGTTGCTCCGTCGAGGTAACTGAGGCCCAGACCAGCATGGACACCCAGCCCCCTGGTCCAGAGGCCCCATTCTCGGCAGCGTTGGCCCCAGAGCAGCCGACAGGATGGTGGCCTGGCAGATCGCATCCAGACACCAGCCTTCTGGGCCCCACCAGCCCTCTGAGCCTCAGTCTACCCACCTATAAGTTGGGGACAACTGTCCCCACCTCTCAGGGCTGTTTTGAGGCTGGGGAGAGGGAGGCTCGAACCGGGACAGCGCTGACCCTGCCCGCCCTCTGGCCGGCCCCAGGCACCTTGTTGGCGACATCCCCAAAGGTGAGGTTGGTGAGGGTCATGCCAGCGTATCGGCGTAGGGCGAGGTTGAGCGGGTCCCGCGTCATCTTGTGCATCTCGTAGTCAACCTGCAGCAAGTCCGCTACGGCCTGCAGCCCACCTATGGGGGTGCGGGGAGGGGCTTGGCGCGGCTGCGGACAGGTGGGGGGCCCTGCACACTGCCGGGCACCCCAAACCACCCACCTGCCTTCTTCCTGGCCTCAGATGCTCTCTGCTCCCTCCCACCCACACCTGCCCTGCTCAGGTCCCCCTCCCCAGCCTCCAGGGCTCCTTGCCAGCTCCCGGGCCTTTGCACGGCTGTCCCTCTGCCCAGAATGCTCTTCCCTGCTATTTGCCCAGGTTCCTGTCTCTACTCCCAGCTCAAGTCACTTTCTCAGGGAAGTCCCCCAACATCCCACATGAGAATTCCCTCCGGACCACGAGCCACGGAGGGCAGGTTGTGGATGGCCCGTGCTCAGGAGCTACTGTGGGGGAAAACGAATCGGGGGAAATGGTCAGTATGGAGAGAAGGGAATGCAGCAGCAACACAAGCGTGAGAAGCCCCATCTCCACCATCTCCCCATCGCAACGATGATGTGGGCAATGCCCGCGTCCCTGGGGCAGGAAGTTAGGAGCACGCATCTAAAAACTTCCAAAGTACACCTGCCACATGTTCAATCAGCATGGCTCACAGCGGCCGAAAGGTGGACACAGTGTGTCCGTCCACAATGCAACATTCCTCAGCCGCGAAAAGGCGGGACGCTCTGATACCTGCTACCGCATGGGTGGACCCCGAAGACTTTCTGCTTGAGGGTGTTTGTGTGAAATAAGCCAGACCCGGAAGGACACATCCCGCAGGACCCCACTCCCAGGAGGTCCCCGGAGGAGTCCCGTCCACACAGACAGAGAGGAGAGGGTGGGAGCCGGGGCTGGGGCAGGGGGTGGGGAGTCCGTGCTTCACGGGGACAGAGTCTCAGTTTACGGAGATGGAACGTTCTGGAGACGGAGGGTGGGGGTGGTCGCAGGACGGAGTGAGTGTGCTTCATGCCGCTGAGCTGTGCGCTTAGAGACGGTTATGATGGCAAATCTTATGTACATTCTACCACAATTTAATTTCTTTGTAAGCTCTACACCCAACGTGGGGCTTGAACTCACGACCCTCAGGTTAAGAGTCACACACTACTGACTGAGCCAGCCGGGCACCCCTAAAAATTTTAGTACATAATTATAAGCTATTTCAGGGGACGCTTCCAAGGCCTTTCACGCTCCTGAACGTGGAAACCCCGCTGCTGGAAACCCACAGGAAGGACACGAACAAGAACAGGCAGACAGTGCTGTGAACTCAGCTGTGGGTGGGACCACCTGGCTAGGGGGTCCTGGCGGACATGGCATGCAAGTGTTTTGCCCTTGGGACCCCTGTATCCTCCAAACGTTTTCGAGGACCCCCAAAGAGACTCTGTTCCTGTGGGTGAGAGCTGGGCATACGCACCCTGCTGGAAATTAAAAGGAAGCCTTTTTAAACCCCAGAACATACAGCCCGGTGGTCCTCAGAGTAGGAGCATCTGGAAAACGCCCAAGAGAAGACCAGGGTGGGAGATGCAAATCACATCTTGTGTCCTTATCAAAAGAACTGCGACCTTGGGGACCTCTTAGAAGGGCCTCAGGAACCCTCAGGGGTCCTGGGCCACACTTTGAGAACCAGTTTCATATGAAATTCTGTGTGTCCATAGTCCAGGTGTTCAAGGTCAGAGGGGGATACGGTGCCAACAGAAATTCCCCGTGGCGGCCTCGCACCGGCTGGCGGGAAGCACAGCCCAGGGGCACTGGATCCTCCTGGGTTTAGACTGCGTTCTGGGGCACGTGTGTGCAGGCGTATCGTGCACAAAGCGGACCGAACCACCTCCTCCTCTCCCCCCACCACAGGAGAGCTTCAAAGGGGAGGTAAGACGCCGCTGCCTGCGACCGCCTCCTAGCTACTGGGCACATGCGGTCTCCAGATTTGGGGTTTTATCTGGGTGGCTTGCTTCCTCCAGAGGGTAAATTCCTAGCTGGGGGGGGGGGCGGTCCTCAAAAGTGCGCACATTCATAAAGTATCTGCTGGAGCCAAATGCCCCTCCAGCGCGCCTGCACTCGGGTGCCCCCGCCGGGGCTGCAAGCACCCACTTGCACACAGCCAACCACAGGAACGGGGTCTACCCTTTGGGCGTTTTGACCACCTGCTGGGTGAGAAGCGTATCTCATTTTGTAATCACGACAGTGAAATTGAGCATATGGATGTGATGTTTGAGCCTTGCTATTGGGTCTTTCACCTTTACTCTTGGTTTCCTCAGCAAAGTCACCTCTCTGTTCTCTGAGCCCCAGCACCTTGGTGGCTAAAAGCCGGCCCTGGGTGGAATGGGGGCCAGCAGCCCCCCCCCCCGCCAGTTGGGAGGCGGTGTGTAGTCATGGAGGAGGGAGGGGGCACTCACCCAGCTCGTTCATGGCACGGCGGTATTCCTCATCAAAGGACAGCTTCATCACGGCGCAGGTGGCCTGGCAGATCTGAGGCTCAATGGGCACCGGGGCTGTGGGCCACAGGGCAGGTCAGAGCCCTCGCACTCCTGGTGGGTCCCTGCCCCTCCCTGCCTTCACCCCACAGGCCTGCAGGGACCCCGGAGCTTTTCAAACCGCCGCCCGCGGAGCACATGGGGGGCCCTCCCAGAGCAGGGCGGCCTTACCACACCCGTCCAAAGCCAGGACAGAGGGTGCTGCCCACCCCCGGGATTGCAGAGAGGGATGACGCAGTGCCTGTGCTAAGTACATTTTGGCAGGGTTTTGGTCATGTATTTGTAATGAGCTGTAAAAACGAGGAGTCTCAAACTGCACCCCGCTTGCAAGGGTTCCCCGGAACTTAGCCAAAGTCCCCAGAAGGCCTCGGCTGGCGCACAGGCGGCCCCCACGTGCTCACCGGCGCCGTTGCCGCCTTCGGCGCCGTCCCTGGCCTGCAGCCAGTCCCAGCACGTCTCACAGTAGGCCCGGATCTGCTCCAGCACGTGCAGGACGCGCATCTCCTTGCGCGCCAGGCCCTGGTCCGGCTGCGAGAAGACAATGTTGTGCAGCGCCGCGTTGGCGCGCATGCGCGCATCCTTGGCTCCCGGCGCCCCGGGGCTCCCGTTCCGACCCCCAGCGCCAGCCTCGGCGCCGTGCAGGATCTGCAGCAGCAGCGGCAGGCACCCCGAGCGGCGCATAGCCACGCAGCTCTCCGGCGAGCTGGACATCGCCAGCAGGGTGCGGGCCGTGTCCTCCTGGTCGCGCGTCGCCAGCATGGACAGCAACCAGAAGACCACCTCCACCTAGGCGGGCAGGGGATGGAGTCAAGGTGGGGAACCCCGCCCAGCTCACCCGGCCCCAGCCAGGGGCAGCCCCGCACCCCCGGTGAGCGGCCCAAACACAGTGAGAGTCCTGTGACCCCAGCCCAGGAGAATCGCTTGCTCAGCCCGAACCCCTCGCCCTGCATCCTCCCGGGGGCCAGCGCACACACCTGGCGAGGTGGATGGGAGGCGTCAGCCAGCACTGAGTGCCCCCAGTTTTGGAGGGCCAAATGCCCACCCTGTCGTCCCTCACTGGGTACTCCTGTGGGTGGGAGTCCCTCCTATGTCTAAGGCTAGAGTGTCCCCCCCCCACACCCATAGGACCGCTATCCCCCACCCACCTTACCGGCCTGAGACCACATGCTGGCCCTGCCGGTCTCAGCACACACCCCACCCAGGCTCGCCCTTCCACACCTGGGGACACTTTATGAGACGGAGGAGGGCGGGTCCCCCACATCTGACAGAGACGCGGGAGGGACCCATCTCACCATGCACCTCAACCCGGCTGGCCACCCACACCCCTCGCGCCTCAACCCACCCGCCTGGCCCCCAACAAACCTGGATACCCCCTCACCTTGCTGTTGCCCGGCTGAGGGACGCCATCCTCAGGGTGCGTGGGGACCTCAGGCTCTGGGTCCTCATCCACCGGCACTGACTTCACCGCCAGCAGGGCCTGTGCGGAGAACGCCAGGCCCGGGGGGTTCGACTGGGGAGCACCCCACAAGGCGCCCAGACCAAGACGATGTGGGTGGGGGCTACGGGCCCATTCCTGCACCCCGGGCAGGGCCCTGCCTGGACCCGTCACCACCCCAGGGCCCTGGCTCCACCCATCCCAGTACCTGGGGCTCGGTCTGTTGCACGCGGTCCTGCGCGGACAGCAGTTCCTGATCGATTTGCTCCAGACGCGAAGCGCGGATCTGAGCCCAGAGAAAGGTGCACGCTGGGGCTGACCCCGCCCCGGCTCTGGCTCCGCCCACTCCCTGCTATGACCCCACCCACTGCCCAAACCACACTTTGACGTCTGACTCTGCCCTGGCCCCTCCCCTGGCTCTGATCCATCCTATTCCTCTATGCGGCCCCACCCGCTCTAAACCCCGCCCTGTTACCTGACTCTGCCCACATCCCGGCCCCACCCACGGTCCAACCCCAACCCAGACTGACTCCACCCACTCCCTCATTTGGCCCCGCCCACTCCCTGATCTCGTCCCGTCCACTGACCGAGGCCCGGGGCTCGCTCACATTCGGTTCCGCCCAGTGTCCGCCCCCTGCCCCCACCTTTCTCGGACTTTGCCCTCTGGGCCCGGCTCTGCCCTTAGCCCCCTCCGCCCCCCACCCCACAAAGGGCTCTAGCTCTGGCTCCGCCCCCTGAGCTAGACCCCGCCCACGGCAGTCCCTGCCCGCCGGGTAATGCATACTTCCCCGCACCCGCTCCGCGCCCGGCCCCGCCTACCGCCTCACCTGCGCCCGCTGCACCATCTCGTCCGAGGTGCCGAAGCGCTCCTCCATCAGCGAGCGGATGTGCTGGGCCTCGAACTCCAGCTGCTGCCGGATCAGGTCCATCTGCATCGAGAACTGCTGGGGGGGGCGGGCCGCGGTGAGGGCGCGTCCGGGCCCGAGCCCCCCCCACCCCCGGCCCCCGCCGGCCGCTCACCGTCTCCACGTGCGGGAGCTCGTCCAGGCGCTTGGACAGGCCCTGCAGCTGTGAGTAATACCAGAGCTTCTCCTTCTCCTCCTTCTCGATCTCGTTCAACAGGAAGCACCTGGGGGGGGGGGGCGAGTCGGTGGGCGCAGCTCGCAGAGGGGGGGCCGTCGTGCATGCGGTGTTTGCCTTGATGTGTAATCACTTGTTTCAGGGACTGGGGTGGGGGGCAGAAAATCAATTCAAAGGAGAGAAGCAATTCCTTTATAAGTTCTGGTCCCCAGAGAAATGCTCTGAGGGGGCTGTTCTGCCCCCAACACCTCTCCCGCACTTGCTAATCTCCCTCTAGCCTGCAAAGACCAAGTCAGGCTCAGGTTGCTCCAGGCCCAAGTCTCGCTCTGAACAACCCTGTGGGGAGACACTGCTGTTCCCATTGTACAGAGCTCCAAGGTTAGGCTCTGTGTCTTTTTTTTTTTTCCTTTAAATAAAAACTTACTGACTTTAAATAATTTTGCCTATGTTCCATATAATTACAGGGCAGAAGTCTGAGGCTGGTAGGGGTTAGGAGACTCGCTTGAGGTCCCACAGCACAGCGCGGACAGGACTCCAAGCCGCTCCTGAACTGCCCCATCTGACCTCACACAACCCAGCTGAGCGGAGCTGGGCGCCTGGGCCCCGCTTTCCTCTGCTGGCCACGGGCCCGGGTTTCCTGGGCCACAGCCCCTCTCTCCACAAAGGCTGCCTTGAAACCTTCTGGCTCCAGTCCTGACCCTGGCAATGGACACAGCCCTGTCCCTGGTGAAGCCTGCATACTGGGGACCCCTGAGCGTATCTCCCGGGAGCCTCCCTCTTTGCGAGGAACGCCCCCTCCTTTGTCCTCCAGAGTCCACTGGACCCGGAAAGGGGGAAGACACGCCACAAGCAGCGAGTGTGGGCAGGGTCGACTCAGGAGGCGGGTGGGACGCATGCCGGTGGGCCAGTCAGGGACCCGGGTAGCGGGGGCGGGGCTGGCTGAGGGCGGGGCTTCCCGCCGCCCGGGGTCTCTCACCGTTCCCGGTCCAGTTCCTCCAGCAGCCGGATGGTAGCCCGGCTCAGCTCCCCAGAGCTGTCCTTAGAGGGCCCAGAGCCGTGGACGGGACTTTCTTCGGGGGTCCGCGCAGTGGGCTCGGGGCCTAGGGCTGGGGACTGGGACTTGAGTTTGTACAGGCTGGTCATGTCCATCTGCAGGGCTGTATGGGCATGGAGGGAGAGGGCGAGGTCAGCGCTGCTTCCTGCCCCTCCCTCTGGGGGCAAGCTGGAGATTGCCCCAGCGTGCAGAGGGGGCCCCCAGGCAGGGCCCTCACCTTTCAGCTGCTCCAGGACCTCGGTCTGCCCCAAGGACACCAGCACTCCAGCCTCCTGTTCCAGCTTGCCCTGTAAGTGCTTCAGGACCTCCTAAGGGGGGGCGGGAAAGAGCACCACCAGCATAAGCCCACTGCCTGGGCTGCCCGGGGCCACCCCCACCCTGAGATGCCCCAGCCGGGCCGGCCAGCCTCTAGGTCCAACCTCCTGGTGTTTGTGCCTGTAACTGCAGCCCCAGCCCCACCCGCACCTTCATGCCGGATGTCTCCGTCTCTAGCTTGGACAGGTGGCTGGAATTGTCTTGCAGCTCCTGCCTCAGGTGACTGTTCTCGGCCTTCAGGGCCTCCACCTGCCGCACCAGCTGCTCGTAGGGTGCCACGGAGCTCGCCATCTTCAGCTCCTGCAGCGCCTGGGGCCACAGGTCAGAAGGTTCACCCAAGGGCCTAGGGAGGGCTGGCCCCTGATCGAAGTCCCAGCCCTCCCATCCAGTCCTGGGGTGAGTCCCAGCAGGAATGCCTGGTGTGGACCGCTGCAGGCCTGGCCCCGGACACATGCGGCATGGCCAGTGGAGAGACAGATGGTGACAGATGTGGGCAGAGCCATGGGATGGACGTCGAGACACACGGCCCAAACGTGCCGCTGGCCAGCAGACACAAATGCATGGCCGTCCTCACTGCCGGGCTCCCAGACACACATGCTGACAGCCCAGGCCCTGACCCACAGAAACGCAGCTGCCCAGAGGGCCTGGGCAGACCACCCGCTGGCACAACCGAGGGACAATAAAAATGCTGTGCCTGCCAACAAAAAGCAGCTCAGAGAGCAATGGCCAGGCTGACGGTGGGACCCCCACAGCTGGACAGCCGGACAGACAGACTCAAGCCCGTCACAGTCACCCTGGGGGGCTAAGATCGGATGCCCCGCCCCCACCCCACCCCCACCAGCAGCTGAAGCCAGAGCAGCTACCTGCCTGGCCCGGCCCCCCTCCGGTCAGCCCTCTCCCAGCCCCTGCGGCCCCGGCTGCCCCATGCCCCATCTCCTGGGCTCTGCCACGGCCACCCCTTTGTGTGTGGCGGTCCTTTCTCACTCTGGCCCAGCCTCCACCCTCTGTCCAGCCAGCCCCGCCTCTCTTGGCTAGGCCTTCCCCAGAGCTGTCCCACCTCCCCGCCCCCCTTCCCTCTTTGTTCCCTTCCCATCAGCACTCGCCCCCTCCCTCCGCCTTTGTCTGAGGCCCACCAATGGCAGCCCATCCTCTCCTCCACCTCCTTCCTAGGAGCCCCCTCCCCAAATCAGCCAGCTCTCCCTTGCCCACAGGGAGGTGCTTACTGCCCCCCTCACCTGGACACATGCATTCACTCACTTGCTCATTCACTGTCATCCGTCTGCTCCTACCCACAGAACCCTCCCCACCCCACCCACCCTGGAGTCACCAAGGGCACGTTGGGCCTGGCATAAGGGTGGGGAGATGGGGTCAGGCCATCCTAACCCATTGGAGGCCCTACTGTATGCCTGGCCCTGTCATCTGACTTCCTGGTCACAGTCCTGAGCCTCAGGGACCACCATTAGGCTGTGCTCAGAGGGAGGAAGTGAGGCCAGGGGGCCACACGAAGCATGACAGGAAGCCAGCACTGGAAGTACTCAGGAGTCCAGGCGGTGCTTTCTGGCCTCGGTTTGCCCATCTGAGCCATGAGAAGAACTCAGTGTGCCGGCCCCATCCTGCAGGCTGATGAGAAGGTCAGGCATGGGAGTGGTCATGGAACAAACCAGAAGTCACAGGGCGGGTGGGACAGTCAGAATGGGAGACAGTGTGTCAGGTAGGGAAGGCCAGCTGCCTGGGCACCACAGCCTTCGCCTCCCACCCCAATAGTGATCCCACCCATGGCTCTGTCAGGGGTCCCAGAGCTGGGAGTCATGCCTGGGGTTGTGGCTGGATCCCTGGACTGGAGCTGTGTCCTGGCTGAGGCTCCCAGGCTGTGCCCCGCCAGAAAGCACTGGGTGAGGCACGTCACCTCCTGCACACCCCTCCCAGTCCCTCAACCAGCCTCAGCCCCCTCCCTGAGCCCCACCCAGGGCTGCCTCCCACCCCCCGTTCCCCTCATGGGTGTCTTCGTGGATGTTCCAGGCTGAGCCTGGGATACCTTCACTCCCCCTGCATCTTCATCGGCCTGAGCTTGGCAGCAGGGCCACCCACCAGACTCCCCCCTCATTCCAGCCCAAGTCCCCAGCTCCACGCTCCCACCAGCCCCTCAAACTTTGCCCAGCTGGACCCTCTCTCCCCCAGCTCCCCACACCCCTCCCATCAGCGCAGCTTCGCTGGCTTCCCACAGTCCACTCCTCATGCACAGCCAGAAGGAAGCTCTGAAAGTCACTGGTTGGACTCCATCCCTCCCCTGCTCCAATACTTCCCATGGCTCCCCAATGCCCTCAAGATAAGACCTGGTTCCTCCACATCCACCTGCAGCCACACAGCAGTGCTCTTCAGCCAGGCCCCTGCATGTGCAGTTTTCCACCTGGAGCACCCTTCCCGATTCCTGCCATCCCTCAAGGTGCAGCTTCCCAGGAAGCCCTCCTGCCTGCCCCTCAACCCCAGGTTGCGCCAGGGGACTCCCAGGAGCCTCCTTGGGAGCTCTCCACTGCAGAAGGGAAAGCACCAATAGCTGGGGGGTTGGTCTGATTGAGCAGTGAGTGGCCGAATTTCAGGGGAGGATGGCATAGATTTGGCCCAAAGAGGCCCTTCCTTCCCCTTCCTTCTATGCAAACCCCACTTTACAGAGAGGGAAATGGTTGTCCAGGGAGGTGTAGCGCTATCCCCGAAGCACACAGCAGGCCTGCCTGCAGACTGGGGGCCACCAGAGGGTTGAACCCCGTGAGTGGGTGTGTGCGTGGGGGTAGCAGCAGCGATGCAGGGGCCCCCTCCCTGGCTCTCAGTTTCCTTTCCGGCTCCACCCTGGAGGAACGGAGGCTCCGGAGTGCGTGCTGACAGGTGAAGCAGAGGAGGGGATGGAGGCCCCCAGCAGAGGCGGAGGACGCGCCCCCTGCCCTCCACCCAGGGAAGCGCGCCGCTTACTTTATCTCACTCGGGCTGGGCTGTCGGGGGCGCCGCGGGGCGTGGGCTCCGGGGCTCCGGGGTCTCGGCGGCGCAGGCAGAGGGCTCTGGGGCGGACAAAGCCCGGTCCCGGCCTGGCCAGGCGGCGCCGCCGCTCCTGGAGCTGGGCGAGACCACCGCGAGCGAGCGGGGGAGGATGCGGGATGCGGGATGCAGGCCCCGCGGCCAATGGCGGCGCGGGAAGACGGACTGGTGCCATGGCAACAGCCAATGGCGGCCCGAGGGCGGGGACCAGCGGCGGCCGCGGGACGTAGTGCCTCCGGGCGGGTTCAGGGACTGCGTGTGCAGAGAAGGGGGGGTGAGCCCCCTCCAAGGGACGGGGGCGCCCCGAGGTCTAGGACCCCGTGCCCCCCGCTCCCCCCCCTCCCCGCTCCAGAGTCTTAAGAACCTCCCGCGGCTTGATCCGGAGAATTTGAGAGTAAAACATCCAGTCTTGGATGTTACATCAGAATTTGGCGGGTGGGGGGCAGGAGCCAGGCCAGCCCCTCCCCACGGATCCAGCCAGGCCTTGTGCAGATGGGTGAGGGCGGGGCAGGGCTGAGGATCCAGGCTGGACCCCCCACCCCCCAGCTCCTGCCACCAGGGAGGGTCATGGCTGGCGTGAAGGGCTGAGCATGGGGGATGGGCGGGCATGCTGCGAAGCACTTGGGACCCTGGCATTTCTCACTGTCTCCCTGGCAGAGCTTCTCCGTGGGCATCTGCCATGACTCCTGTCCACCCCCATATCGCTCGGTCTCTTTCAATCTCTGTCTCCCTGTGTCTCTGTCTCTCATCACGCTCCTATTTCACCCTCACAGAAGGGGAGGCAGAGGAGGCGGGACCTGGGGTCCCAGCTGCGGCCAGGCCTTACTGCCCAGACACATGCACGCCCGAAGGACGAAGGAGGCTCTGGGCAGGAGACGGGGTTTAGGGGGCCTGCCTCTGTCTTTCCTGGCTGGGAGGCCAGGGCAAATCGTTTGCCTCGAGAACCTGTTTCCCCCTCGGTAAGATGGGGAGGTGGCTGCAGCCTCACTTAGGGCTGGTGCAAGGAACGACGGGACGGGCAGCCAAGGGCACGGGGACTACACTGTTTTCTGTTGGGTTTACTGCAGGAGGTCCCGTGTGCCCGTCCTGGGCTAGCAGTGCTGGGGGCCCTCAGAGGAGCCTCCAGAGCCAGACACAGCAGTCCCCAACCCGTGGGGCTTGAGGACGGGGTGCAATGGGCAAGGGGGATCTTTCTGGAAGCTGGGAAGGCTGCAAAGAGAAAGGGACATGGGTGCTTGGCCTCTTCAGGATGAATAAGAGTTGGCCATGGAGGCAAGGAGGGGAACAGCATTCCAGGCTGGGCAGAACAGCATGTGCAGTTTCTGGAGCTGAGATCAAAGCCCTCTCAGGGGATGTGGGTTTCTGGTGGGGCTGGATCAGGTCGTTATGAGGGGTTTAGAGCAGGGGCAGTCTCCTGGAGGAGTCATGGGCTGAACTGACCACAAAGAGCAAGGACAGAATGGGCAAAGCTGGAATGGGGGTGGGGAAAGGACAGAGCCCAGGGCCCCAGCTTTAGCTGTACCTTGATTCCCCTGCATGACCTTGGGCCTATCTCTCTCTGGCCTCAGTTTCCTGTTTTGTTGGCTGGGAGGTGGGTTGGAGAATCCTTGCCTGCAGAGAACTACATCTTACCTCCCCCACCCAGTCTCAGAGGTCACTGCTCCCCAGGCCCCTCTCAGGCATAATCTTAGAGTGGTCTAATGGCCAGCCTTGCCCTCATACATATGAGGACACTAAGGCTTAAGCCAGAAAGCACCCTGCTGGAGTTAACTCATGAGCCTCACCAGCCCTGGGGCCTGGAAGGCTGAGGGCACATGGGACTGAGACCCCAAGGCAAGATGCCCTTGTCCCCAAGACTCTGGAACATCATATCTCTGACACCCCTGTCCCTCCTCCTCCTCGAAAGTCCCTGACCCTCTGAATTCTTGAGCCACACATTCAGGCATCACTGGAAATTCGAGAACCACAGAGACTTGGGAAACCCCACAGCACCCCAGGACCCCAGTCCCAGTCTTGGGGGAATGAAAGAGACCCCCCAGTGTACAGTACCCAGGCCTAATGGGGGACCCTTCCCAGGTACCCTCCCTGGGACCCTCTGTGCTCCCTACCGCTGCTGGGCTCTCAAGAGGAAAGTTGAATCATGCGGCTCGCTCATCCCCACCCTCACCCTGAGACCGCCCC